ATATTTCAACATGGAGATTGGAGCAGGGCCACTATCAAGGCTGAAATCTAATGATGGTACTGAGAGGGTAGAGCTAACAGAGACACGAGCAGCCTGAATCATTGCTGTTTGCTATCTCTCTTTATGAACGACATGTAGGTGAGGTAGGTGGTACCTGTGAGCCTCAGACCTACTTAATTGACCCAATTTCTCAGTCAAAGACAGTAAGTTAGATATGGATGTTCTAACATGGCTGAGAAAGTGAAATTAGGCACAAAAATAGCCAGTTGTTTTAGGAAAGTTAATTCCTTTATAACGTCATTCAAATGCAAACAGGAAGCTGAATTTCCTGAAAGGGGGGCATCACAAATATGTATATTTAAGCCAAACAGAAATGACGTTAACTTACTTATCTGGTTGATTTTCAAGACTGCAACCCCTTAGTTTTCATGAATCATTCACTCATTCACTCACTCATCAGGCCTTTACTGAGTCATCTTGTGTGTCAGACACCATACTAGGTGCTGGAAGATTCTATCCTGAAAGCAACAAGGAGCCACAGAATAATTTAAAGTAGCAGAGTAACATGATTAGATTTCCTTTTCAGAAAGCAGACTTTGATTTTAGGTAGAACTGAAGGAGAGTGAAACTGGAGAATGGGAGAGGAGTTTGGAGGCCATAAAAACAACTCTGAGGCATCTGAACAGGAAAGTTTGACTCCTACTCCTCAGCTCCTATTATAAATAATGAATTTATTTTTTTGAGTGAGCCTTATTGCTTCTTTATTCCCTCCTACATGCTCCACCCTCCAGCTCTGTACTGGAGATTGAACCCAGGCAAGTTCAAACATTGAGCTACATCTCCAGCCCCTTTTATTTGAGACAGAGTCTCATTAAGATGCCCAGATTGGCCTTGAATTTGCAATCCTCTTGCCTCAGCCTCCAGAGTAGCTGCAATTACAGATGTGTGCCACCTCACTCAACCTTTTATCTTTGAAAGTCATGGAGGGTATGAGGCTTGTAGATGTTTCTAGACATGGAATGGAAATTTAACCTTAACAAGATAAGCTGTATCTCAACAATAAAAATAAGGAAGAAAGAACTAATGTTTATTGAATGCTGGCTACTGAAGTGACATTTTCTGTGCATTATGAGTTTTTGTTTGTTTGCAGTGTCCAGGATTTAACTCATGCTCAGGATATCGTAACTTTTTTATTCCTTTATTGCTATTAGCAGAGATTTGAACTGCAGTTTTGCTTGACTTAGTATTTTTGTTTTTTTCTGACATACACATACATATTTTTTTCTACTTATCTATTCAAAAAATCACTTTGGGGCTGGGGATATAGCTCAGTGGCATAAGTGCCTTTCTGGCAAGTACAAGGTCCTGAGTTCAATTCCTAGTACAAAAATAAAATCACTTTTGTTCTGTGACCCAATAAAATAAGTCTTTTTAGGATCGGTTTAACTCAAGGCACAAGTTAGTCTAGTTTATTATGGTTTTGGTTTATGATTTAATTTTACCTAAAGTCTTAGGTTTTATAAATAAAAATCATAAATTTTAAACTGTCCCTAAAACTGCAACCTATATTCGAGAAATTTTAATTTAACTTTCAACTCAGTAGGATTTTGTAATATGAAATTTGTATTTTCCTTCAACTCAAAAAATTTACTTTTTCCTTACTGTTTTTTCCTTCTATTCTGGTTTCTTTCCTTCAGCAACCTCTACTACACAGATATCAGAACTTGATCTTAGCCTTAGGGTTCTCAGCCATGTTTATGAGCTTTTGGTCTCCTTGTCCTTTGCCTTGCATTTGGGGAAATTTTTTTTGGCTTGTGCTACCATTAATCTATTCCTCAGTGTGGTCCATTCTGGTTATCAGCTAATGAATTTTTACCCTCAGAAATTACTTTTTAAATATGCAAAACTTTTTGTAGATTGTCACGAATCTAATGTCCTTTCAAATTTTGCTAAATATAATTAAATTCATTTTCTGCTTTCTTTATTAACTTAGTTTCCTCTGATGTTATTTCTACTAATTGAGTTTGGCGGTTCTCTTTCATGGTTTTGCCACTCCTATCCCCATGTATGATGATTTTGTTTCTGATCATCTCTTACATGAGAATGGATGTGCCTACCCATTCTGTCTATTTTAGATTGTTTTCAGAGGCTGTAGTCAGTCCAGTCACAAAATACTACCCTTAGAAAGTGAAGGCTCCCTCTCATTTCTGGGCTCTGCCTTTAGGTTCCAGAACCCCAAATACCTTCTTTATCAAACAGGTAAACACTTGATACTTAATATTGTATCAAGCAAGGGAGAGGAGTCTCCTCAGCGAATCATTCTATGCTAGGACCCTCTCCTCTTCTTCCTATATTCTTTGGCAGTTGCCTACAACTTCCTGTATTCATTTTTTCTGCTAATTAAATCTCCCCTCTTTTCTATAGTTCTAGATTTCCTACATATTTTTTGAACATTGTTCACCCCCACCCCCATTTCCCTGTGCTTTTAGTTTCCTGCTCTCTTCACAACATATCTTTGTGAAATTTAGAGAAGCTAAATAGGGTGTTCAATCCACCATCTCCATCCAACCTTTATCTATTTTATTGTTTTTGCTTCTTATCAAATAATGCAAGCTCACTGTGAAGCCTTTAGAGAGTAGAAACAGATAAAGTCCTCTGCTCTGTTAGCTCCTCTGGTGTCCACACTTACATTCTCTTGGCCTTACCTCTTGATTTCAGCTGCCACTGGGTAGACAGTGCTAGCAGGGGTCCCACCTCCCTGGATGATGGTGTCTGTTGTAGTCTCAAGGGCACAGCTCCTCTGCTGGCCTCAGAACTCTTCTGAAGCATTAGATGGGTGCTTAGATGTGAAGGCGGCCCACAGGTAGGGATGCTAGCAGGGGGAGCCTCTTAACCAATCAGGATGCAGGCCTATCTTCATCCTACACATGGACAGTTCCAAGAGGTACTCACTACCCTTCTGGGGAAATTCCTGCAGACTTGACCCTCTGTTGCTCACATCAGTGACCTCCATCACGGACCCCTAAGGTCACTTTACCTTCATCCCTTTGCACTCTCTTCAATTTCTCATTCTTCCTCTCAGAGCTCTGCCTTTTTTCCTCCCTTATTTGACAATGTTCTTGCTCTTTGTAGTGCTAAACTTCCCCCCCTCTCTTGATTTTGATTTATCATTTCACTGTAACTCTATTAGCTGTAAAGCATTTAGGGCTGCTGTCAGGATATCAGGATCTGTAGCAAATGAGGTTGAATTGAATTATTTAGCTTTCAGCTAAAGTGGAGATAACTAAAGCAGCTGAGCTGGTTTGTAAAATCTTGGGATAATCTGCTGCTTTGGAGCTTTTAACATATTATTTTTTGCTTGTGATTAAAAATTATAAATTTTAAGGCTACAAAGAAAAAATATGTGTGCAACTTTATAGTTCAGTGCCACCAACCTAAAGCAAAATAATTATCTATTTCACATAGTTTATAATTATGTAGTGTCAGAACTGTAATTCTGAGGAATCATGAATTTAATAAGTTTATTCACACAAGGTTTTAAAAAACATAAATATATAATTTCCTTTTTTCTTTCAAAAATAGGCCAAGGATTTCTGCTTGAGAGACATAACAGTCTCTGCTTTTGAAGTTGTCCTGTTTTTCTTGAGTTCTCCTTGCCAGAATTTGGTTCTAAAAGATATTTTTCATCAGAAAGACCTGTTTTAAACTCAGCAATAAACAAACGGATTTTTTTTGTGTGTGCTGTGGGTTGAACCCAGGGACTGCATGTTAAGTACCTGCTCTGCCACCAGGCAACATGTCATCCCTACAAACAGATGCTTAAATGTTACCAGCAAAGGGGAAGGGAATGACTATTAACCTGCTGGATGACCGTGACTATTCTTGTACCATCTCTATTACTAGAGTCTTGGGGGAAATCGAACTGTAAATAGGGGCCAGACAAGAGGGGCGGGAGTGGTCTGAAGAGTGCTGTGCCTTTGTAACACCCATGGAGTTTGCCCCCACTTAAGACTTCTCATTGTCCAAATGCCCACTATCAAGATATGTGGTTGCAGAAGGCAGTGAAAGGCTTTCCACGCATTCAGTATATAAACTAAGCCTGAACATCTGGCAATTAAACAGCCTTTTCTTGATGAATCCTGGAAAATGGCATAATTATATTCCCAAGCAAGTAACTCAAGAGTAAGGCTGTTCCCTTGTTAAGAACACCAGGAAGCATCAGTCAAAGTTAATACTCTTCTACATCTGTCCTCTTTTAATCTGCACTGCCATCTCCATAACAGCAGAGATTACCTGGGAGGATGGCTGCTGAGAAGTCCTGCCAGGCACAGCAGGTGGAGAAACAAGAGGAAAGGTACAGCAAGGTGCGCAGCAAACCTCACTGAGCAATGACCTTGTAAGAAAGTGAACTGCCCCTGCAAGCTGCCGGTATTCTTTGGTGTCTTTCTCCCGGGGTGACTCGGAGGTGCTGTGATGTTTCTCCTGGGCAACATCGGTTCTAGTGTTTCCTCTGGCCTACTGTCCCCACCCCACCCCTGTTTGCAGTGAGGAAGCCCTGGCCGGCCCCCAGGGACCCAGGCGTATCAGAAGTGCAGGTGGGCACGTGCGGCGCTTGCCTGTTGATTACGGTGCCTACCGTGGGGGAGCGCGTCGGGACTGCAGGCTGCGCGCCGAGGGCACTGCCCAGTTCGCCCGGACTACACCGGGCGCTCAGGCTCAAACTGCGCCTCCGAGGCGGCAGGTTGGGGGCGGGGGCCTCAGGCCCGGTGCCCACACCCCGAGCTCTCAGCGTCTGCTCGCGCCACCAGTCGGGAGAAGCTCCCTCGGGAGCGCGCTAACACCCCGGGCCCCGGGAACAATCTGTCTCTCTCCAATCCGGCCGCAGGGGGGCCTTCAACCCGGCGCGCCCACCCTGCGGCGTCAGCGCGCCTTTAAACACATTCAAAACAGCAGACCGTGCGCACTGGGGGCGCAAGGCGGGAAAGGCTGCAGGGCTGGTTCTGCCACAGGCTCTAGGTCCGGGCGCACGAATTAGGCCCGAGGTGCAGGGGTTCGGTTAGCAGAGATGCGGGGACGTGCGCGACGATAGGTCCTGGTCCGGGAGGTCCGCGGGGAGGCCGGGCAGGTGCCCCCGGCGCGGAGGCTGATTGGCAGGTGCAGGAGTGGGTGGGGAAGGCGGGCGCTGGGCCTGGCGCTGCGGGAGCTGCGGCCCCGCCTCCCCGCCCCCGCCCCCGCCGCGGGACTATCTGGTCCCGGCAGCAGCGATGTCCCCCGGCAGGAATGTCCCTCCTCAGATAATGTTATTTATATCTCTGGGCGGGTCCGCGGCTCGGCAGCACCAGGCGCCCGGCGGCCGCTGTGCCAGGAGCCCCGCGCTGCCCTCCTCCCCCTGCGCCGCCGCTGCCGCCCCCGGGCTCCGGGTGGCCGCCGCTCGGGTCCCCGCGCAGGTGAGTCGCGAGAGGGGCCGGCGGCGGGGAGCGGGGAGCGGGGCGCGGGGGCGCAGGGCTGGGGCGCGCGGCGCGGGCGCTGGGTGCGGTGGGCCCAGCGTGCGAGTGACGCGAGCTGCCGGGGGCGCTGCCCCAGGTGTCGGATGTGGGAGCAGGAGGGGTGCGGGGCCCCCGGAGGCCGAGGTGGGGGAGGCTGCAGCAGCGATCACCCCAGGACGCGGAACCCAGCCCTGGCGCAGGGTTCTGAGGCGCGCAGCGAGCTGGGCGCTTGCTTGGAGAGCCGACTCCTAGAGAAAGAGTCGCCCGGGCGCGGGGAGCCGGACTGAGGGCAGTTTTGGCCGCCGCCTGTAGGACAGCGCCTGGGCGCCGCGGGTGTCTCCTTTTGCGTGTCCTCCCTTCGCTTTGCTTCGTTCGACCCGCGCTGCCCAGCTCCTCAGCCCCTGGGCTGCTTTGATCTTCTTCTGGAACTTGGCTGCATGCTCCCTGGGCTGCCCAGAGCCCAGTGCGGAGAACAGGGCAGGGCAGCGGAGGGGTCCAGGCCTCTGGGCGATGGGCACGGCGTCGCCCCTGTGGACTCTGGAAAGAAGCGAGTGCCCGGAGCCATACTCCACGGGTCGCCTACACTCTATGTCTTCCAAGGAGTTCCTTTTCTCCTTCTGGTCCACTGTCCACTCACCCCCTTCACCAGTTTCTCCTCGGCCACCAATTTGATCCCAAGAAATAGCAGAGAATGAGAAAATAGGGCTTTAACAATCCCCCTTTCCCACCAACTTACCTAGACTTTGGAGGGGCTTGTATACGGTTTCCGTGACAACCAGCCTCAGGTAGGGGCTAAGTTTGTAGCCTATTAATATCTAAACTACTGTTATAGTGAGCAATTAAAGTGCTAGGATTAATAATAACATGCTTAACTTGCAGAAGGAACATAGAAGCCTTTTCTTTCTTTTTTCTTTTTCTTTTTTATAAAATTGTAGATGCATCCGGTTGGGGTGAGGGTACAGTGAATCTTTTGTCCTGGCAACTTCTGTGTGGAGAGGCTGGGTTGTCACCTCCAGGCAGAAACAGCCATACAAAACCCACCCCTGTGGCAGTTACCACCTGTGCTTTAGTTTCTAAGGAGATCATTCCCGCAGCTCCTGAAGGAGAGGCATCTGCAGTATAAAAATGCTAGGCACATCTGAACCGTCTGCTAACCTGGCCTTAGTTCCACAGGTGCACCTGAATTTAACTTTAGAATTCCCTCCTTGACATCCCTCCTTCCTCCATGATTGAGGGCACTTGAAAACCTCTCCCAAGGTCAGAGTTTTGGTCTTTTGCTGGGAGCTCGGAGTTCCAGGGTGCATTGGAAATGTTTATAAGTGCAAAGTGTTTGTTAAAGTGTACTGAATTCCCTGCACCCTAAGGAGGTAAGCCTGAGCTTAAAAGTTTGCAGGTTGACTAGCAAAAGGGATGCTTAGCTTAAGATACAGAAGAGCCTATCAACCTTGGAGACTCCAGAGATGGATTGTTTATACAGAATTTTATCAAACTCTAGCATAATGTACAGTTAAAAGACATAAACCGTGTACAGTAAGTTGCCGACTTACAAATAAGTTGTCTTCTAGGAGGACATGGATTTGTTTGTAATCCAAACTTACTCAACAGAGTGAGTCTTACGAGGTACACTTGTGAATCTAAAACAGCACACCTGTGAGAGTTCACAACACAAAGTTCCTAAGTCGGGGACTTTCTGTATTATTAAAATATGACCCTTCAGCTGTTGCACTTTATCAGAGGCCCAGTGGCAACACTTGGGGATGAGCCAGTCCTGTTAATCTTGAGTTCTCGGAAGACTCAGAGTCCACTCGTGGAATTGAAAGCACCTGAAAACTCCCAGGCATCCGGGGCTGGCCTGGTAGCACAGGCATATCAAGTTTTCCTGAGTGGCTTGTCCAGCAGAGAGCTGGGATATCACCTTTTGCTCCAATAGTTGCTGCTTCCAAGTGCTCTGAAGGGGGTCCTGTAGCAGAACACCTGCTTGATAATTAGCTTCAGAAGTGAAAGCATGGCAGAAGGCAGACCCTCACCTGGGATTATATTTGGAAAAATACAATGTCTATTTCAGGCAAACAAGGTGCAAGTGAAAGTTTGGAGTCTGTCACAGCTCTAGTAACAGATGGTTTTGTGTAAATAAAAATAATAATGACATCCATTTATTCTACTTTTTATGTAGCATTGTCTAGCTCAGTGCTGGCTGGTCATAGAGTCTCAGTTAATCTTTGTTGAATGAATGAAGTAGTAAATAATTGAAGACTCAGAGTTTTCTTTATGTTATCCAGCTTGTCACAGTAATTATGCAAGGTAGCTTGTACTATCAGCATTTGAAAAGTGAGAAAACAAGTTCGAGGAATTAAATTACTGGTCTCACATCACACAGCGAATGAGAGATATGAGAGATGGGACCAAGACTCAAGCTCAGTTGTTTGTTTCCACTGTTTTTTGTAGGCTAGATACTCAGCAGGGGGTGTCAAGTACAAGTTGCAAAGATTTGGTTGAGGTTGTCTTTTAGCTTTACAGTCTTCACTCCAAGGGCTTTGTGTAGTAATTCTGGTTAATTCAGAGATGCTTCAAAATATTGTGTAAAGACAGTATTGGATGTTCATTTGTTCAGAGGTTTTTTTTTTCAATCTCATCTTTTACTTTGAGGTCATTGTTTCAAGGACAGAATTGTAACTTTGGCAGTAATCAAAGCGTAGATTTATTTTTGTACTTTTTTTTTTTAAACAAAATTTCCTTTCAGTCCTGGAAATGGCCAGGAGGGCTTGATGATGCGTCAGGACAGTGTGATAGGACAGAGGATGTCTATAAAAAATTCATGAGGCAAACACTGTTAGAGTTGAAAGAGACCTTAGAGGTCACTGAGTCCAGCCTTCCATTTGTGTAGTTCCTGGTCGAAAGGTGAGACCCAGTGCAGCTTACCTTGTTGTCCATGTGCTTCCACATTTATCACTCTGGCCTGTTTCTTTCTCTGTCTCTCAAAGTCAGTATCGTTTATTTCCTGAAATTCTGCCTAACTGAACCACTAAGATTTTCTTTTTCCTTTTGAGGAGATTATGAGAGCATACATACTTTTTTATCCAATACTTTCATAATGAAAGTTTTTTTTTAAAAGCTATTTATGCAAAACAGAAGACATTTGTGAACATTAAGCTGAACTGTAACCTTTTCATTGCTCGTCAGGTATACAAGTGGATTAACTTTTTATTTTAGATTTTTTTTTTTTTTTTTTTTTTGGTACCAGGGATCAAACTCATGACCTCACACTTACCAGGCAAGCACTTGAGCCACTGTGCTAAAATCCCTGGCCCCTGGATTAACATTTTTACAGAAAGGGCATACCTACTACTTCTGAGATAGTATGACTTTTTTTTTTTTTTTTTTTTGGTGTTGAGGATTGAACTCAAAGACCTCACGCTTGCCTTACTTATGATAGTATGACTCTAGTTTTCTAGGGAAAGTGAAGAAGGGCCTTAGGGAACAACTGGAACTATTAGATGCCTGTTTTAATCTAAACCTAATCACCAAATTGTTCTTAGAGAATGTTGCTTGAAATTTCAAAATCAAACACTGAATTTTACTCTCTACCTAAGACTCGAAAAGATGAGAAACATGACCAGGAGGAGGTTTGCAGTCATATCGAATAATTTCTTCATTATCCATAATGTTTATTTTTTTGTAACCTCAGGCCAGCAGATTAACATTTACCAATTGGCTTGGAAGGCTCAGAAGGGAAGATAACTGTGCTCATGAGAAATTTGATTTTATGAGGAGACTGGTTGGAGAATCTTTGGATACACTGGGCTCTGAGAGATTGTGGATTATTACAAACTAAAACTAGAGGACAGAGAATAGGTATTTTCTCCTCCAAATAATTTGTATTGACTCAGTTGGTTTTTACAGACAGATCTTTATTTACTCCTTTATTTTAGAGAAGCATTTTGGGGATGAAGTGTACATGTAGAGGTCATTATGCCAGAATCATCTTGTAGCCTTAGCTGGGGTAATCACAGGTAAATCTCTTTCCTCTGACAACCCTAGGAGGGGAAGATCTCCTGGCTTTAGGTCAGGGCAGGATGTAGGAGTGAGCAGGAGAATTCACTGTCGCCTCTGGCTCCTCTCACTGAAAAGCCAACTTCCCTTGGTAAATATTGAGAAAATAGCATAGCATGTTTTCCTTTGTTGCTGTGCTTTTTTCTTAATTCACAGACAAGTCATCTAAGTTCTTCCATTTCCAGCCAGCCTTAGCTGAACATCAAACCACTGGGGGATCGTCAGCTTTGCAATTTACAGAGTTTAAGGCAGTCATAGACAGAAAATGCTTCTTCAGTGAATTGTTTGGTTAGCTTATGACATTTCCCTGACCATCTCTCATTTTGTTCTTTTTTTCTTCTGGTCACAGGGACTATAACAAAAGTGTCTTCTCCCTGTGTCAGCAAGGCTTTGCAATAATGTTTAATTCCCACTATATTGTTGCAGACCTGGCTGAGGATATAATTAAAGGGCAATTAAAATTCAGATATATAGTAAGTATATCATGTTAGCAATGGGGGCAATATTGGATGTCCTTTCTTTCATTTAAATGCTATAAATTAGCAAGTGAAAAGACACAGGGCTGGAAAAAAAGACTTTGCATTGAACTGGGCTCAGATCACCCAGAGTATTTATGAAAAGAATAACAGGGCACCTTGGCAGTCAAAGAGCAATAATTGCTTTGAATTATAGTCAATTCAGGAGTTTCTACCATTATGAAAAGAGCAGAAACTTGGATAATCCTGGAAATGAATAAGTTGAAAATTATTTCTACTTGTACCAGATTCAAATATGGGTGTGTCTCATCTCAGAATTCATAGCACATCTGGGAAAACAAGGCAGATTTAACTACTTAACTTGAATGAAAAGAGGTCTGGAGCCTCATTCTGCCCCTGTGCTCAGGTCCTGCTTGCTTCCAGAGGACCCTGAGA